ATTTTTAAACTCTCGTATTTACCAATCGAGGAAACAAAGTATCATCAATCAAATTAAGAACAGAACAAGAGATAGAGGCTCTAAAGCATACCAGGAACGGTTTGATATCCATAAGCGTAGCTTTCAGGATGAGGAGGAGCTGAAGGGTTAGCGGCTCCCGGCGGCGGCGCCGGCTGAGGGAATCCTGTCGGCGGAGGCGGTGGTGGGTAGTTGGCTACTCCTTGGAAAGTTCCGTACTCGGGTGGCGGAGGGGGATAGTGATGCTGATGATCACTTGACACTCCTCTCTTCTTTTCGTCTTCGCCCATATTTTCAAGTAACAATTATTGGTTTTCGAGCTTTCTGTTTGTGTGAATTTGGTTTGGAGTTTGGAGTTTTGGTCGCTGGTAGTTGGAACTTGCGAGGTGGGAGGAGCTGTCGGAGCAAGTCGACAAGTTAATAATTTTCTTTCGTTTTCATGTTGTGTGAATTCTAAGAAAAGGAAGCAAATGTAAATTTGGGCATCTGATCGGGACTTCGTTTAGATGTACTTTTAAAATGATTAAAAGCGTTTTTAGAAAAAATGTTTTTGGATTCCAAAAAGCACTTAAAGTGCTTTCTGTAAGAAGTACTAATTACGTGCTTCTTTTAGGAAGCACTATATAAGTATTTTTTCAAGATTTATTTGTATTTGTACTAAGAATTAATTCTAAAAATATGTTCACCAAAAGAGCTTTTAATCATTTTAAAAACACATCCAAACGAGTTATATATCTGATTGTGAATCAGGGATTGTATTAAGTACATGCGTTTTGTGGTTAAGTTATGTAATTAAATTCAAATTCAAATGCAATTAGAATAACTGTTTTTTTCAATCGAATACTCAACGATAGAGTTACGTCTCCATAATGAGCTAGTCGCTACTAAAATCAAACTTACTACAAATATATATTGGTTTAATATTTTATTAGAGTTGAACAATGTAACTTGAACTTAAGAGCTTTTCCGGCTGAATTGAGGCATTTACCACCAAATAATGGGTATAAACTTTATAGGGTCTAAACTTATCTATATATTTTTGTCTCCCAAGTTTATAACCTAATAATGAGTCCCATTTGTTGGTGTTTACTTGTTCTTGTACTTGAAAAGAGACTAAAATTAGAAGTGATAAACACACCATTTTTTTTTCTTCTTTCTCTACACACTTATGTGTAACATTATGTTTTGTTTTTGTTCGATTTTATTTAGTCTTACAGTAAAAAAAAATTTAAAAAGTGTGTGAAAATCAATTTTTTAAAATTTCTCAACAAAAATGGGCAAAAAGATGATTAAATTAAGTGAATTCACTGGCCAATAAATTAAAAATTATTACTATTAACAAACCGTTATTGACACTCGAAAAATCTAATTATACACTCGTCATATGAGTACTTTTCATTTTAAAACTAAAAAACTTAAAGAGTATACAATTAAATTTTGTAATGTCAACCACCATTCTTTTTCTGTTTTTTTTTCTAGGAAATAAACTTAATTATGAGGAGGCTTGAATGTTACTGTGGGCCCCTTGGCTGGAGTTTCAATGAGATGGGTAGTTGGGCAGCCAAAATATCCAAAACAAAAAGAAACTAAAACTTTGTAGATCGAGGAGCAGATTGAAGAGGATGCCAAAGGGAATACTATTTTATAGCTTAAAAACGAGCGGATGTGATGAGCTTAGTCGGCTCATGCGCAAACTTTTTAACGAAATATGGAATACTATTTTGTAAAACACTTTCAGCAGTTCAATTCTTTCGAGCTAAATTAACTACAAGGAAAGGATGCCAAATGGAAATAGATTCTCTTCAGATGTTTTCCACCAAAACTTACGGATCAAGTGATCCGATTTTTTGAAATTTAATTCAACAGTTAAAAACATAAATCCATTTTAAAAGTTATAATAATTTTAATTGTTGGATCAAATTTCAAAAATCCAAATCACTTGATCTGTAGAATTTGGTGGAAAAAATCCAAAACGGATCTCTTTCCATGCCAAAGAACCAAAATAATGGAAGAAACTTTACATGATTTAGCTGAGATACCAATCAAAATTAAAACTTGTTTGTCTAGGACATTACATACGTGACTAAGAGGACTGGCCCTTGCCAAGTCGAAGTTAACAATAAAGGGGCGGAAAAGACGGGGTCTTATTATTAAACTTCACTTTATTACGTAATTTTTAGAAATCTGTCGGCATAAAAAATTTGGCAGCTAATCATACATTATGAAGCTTATTATGAAGCTGTGGAAAAAACCGCTTTGAACAATATATAGAGGTTGAGATGACTGTGAAAGGAATTAACAAACAATTAGAAATGCGCATGGAGTAACTAAAACGTATATAAAAATTATAATATATTCAGTACAACATACGATTATTATATATTCAATGTAGGCCTTAATTTGATTTAGAGAGAGAAACAAAAATTAGAAAAGAAAAACTAATTAAAAATGTTTGAATACTTTGAGTTTTAACGAAAATGACAAAAAGATGTTGTAAATAAATAGTACCAAGATTAATTTTTTAAAGTAAAAATATGATTTTTCGTTAAAAATAAACAATACTGAAAATTTTTCGTTAAATTCAATTAAAATATCTAACGCCGGTGGAAACATATCACACATATGCGCCACGTGTTGAGACATGATTGGTCCTACGTACTTGATTTTTTAAATGGTTATAAGACGTGAAAGGTAACAAACTTTTGCGTTGCAGGTGTCCCACTCCACTTAATCCACTCTCCAATATCCATCTGCCGACAAATCTGGACCTCTGTCCACCACAACCTGACAGAATCACATCACATGTAATGTTTACCTTAGTAAAACAAGGAGTGAGTGAATTGATCCAGTCACGTGTAGTGTTTGACTTAGTGAAACAAGGATTATAATTCTCTCCGTTCTTAATCTCTAAGCTTTCCTCCTTTCCTCCTTTTCTCTTACACTTTATTAAGAACTTTAACGAAAAGTTTTCGATCCTATTTATTTTAACAAAAAATTATATTTTTACATTAAAAAATTAATATTGGTACTATTCACTTTACCCTTTATTTTGTTCTTATCATTAAAACTCAAAGTTTTCAAGCTTTTTTCATTAGTTTTTCATTTATTTTTTGTCTCTCTTTATATAAAGCAGTTAATATAAAATGTTGACATAACTTAATCATAATTGTTAATGAGAAAGAGAGGGGAGGAGAGGGAGAGTAAGAGGGGAGAGTGTCTTACTCCGTAGAATAATTATCAACTGTTAGAATGCGAATGTTCAACTCAACTTAGTAAAACATCTATCAGTTATTATTTCGGAAACTTAATGAATCAATCGTATGAATATGTAAAATACAAGATTTTCAATCCTAACAGGAAAATGAGAGAAATGAATACTCAATTTAAAGTGAGTAAACACAATTCCATACTATCAAATTTTGTAAATCATATGACATGATTGTTGATCGAATTATCTTAAGTGTCAATTAACGTGCTTATTTCTTATTGCATATTATATGATTTACAATTTTGATTTAAAAAATTAGTTTACCTAAAATTACTCATAATGTATTATTGAACTGAAACGACACGACGAAGTTAATCTATTTCATGTAAATTATTCTCAAACAAGAGACATTGCCAATTTTTGTATTTTACAATATATGCACATGATCGCAAAAGCTCCTGGAAATCATGTGAAATTCATCTTTACCTTATACACACTCTTATTAATTTTTTATCATTAATCTTTTTCAATTAATTTAACTTGATAACTTCAAAAAAATGTTTAAGAAATAAAAAAGAATGTGTAAATAGTTCTATCGAACAATTGTTATCTCTACCATGCGATCAACCCAACTAGTTGCATGTGATGTGACGATGATACTCCAAGCACAAGGGCCGAATTTGGCCAAAAAAATTGGCTATAAAATGTACCGCGAGACAGGGGAAAACACCCTCTGTTGTTTAAGTTTTCCAACCAACACTCCTCTCTGGATCCTTTTTATAAGGTAATTCGTATATGTTCATCATATATTATGTAATAAGTTTTTGTCAAGTATTATTTACATTTAATTTTAAATAAAAAAATTTAAAATGATTTTTTACTGCATGATGTACGATGAAAGGACACGATTCACAAATCCTTGGATCTTTACAAAGAGGATTTGGCGAGGATCCGAATTTATTTTCCAAATATGGCGCAGTTTACAGTCTATCCAGTTAGGATTTGAATCTCATTCGGATCTAAGTTGTGGGGATCCTCACATTCTAACAATTTATCGTACATCATACGATTAGAAATTATTTAAAATTTATTTATTTAAAATTAAACATAAATAATACTTAACGAAAAATGACAACACGATATACTATGAACAGGATACAAAGATTCCTACAAGGGAAATTTTATTTAAACTCATCTAACCTCTTTCTATACCCAACTTACTCTCTTCACCCATTTTGTTTATATTTCTTTAAACCCAAATTTATTAATTAAACTACTTCTCAAACCCAATTCAAAATGTAAATTATCTTTACACCCATATGCTAATTAGCTTATAACAATGCATGATTAGATTGGGATCAAGATTGGGGTTGAGAATGAGATTGAGATTGAGAGGTGTTGGCTCGCTGTAAGCGTTTTTTCCCTGTATCTCCATGCTACTTGAATTCATCTTTTTGCAAGGCCTCTCCAGTAAGCTGACTCATACCTGCCATAAAAACCAAACTTCAACATCAATGTTCTGTCATAAACTATTCCCACATGCATCCTAGACGATTTCTTGAAGACCACGTATGCATGTCACCAGTCTTCAATCATGTATGCATACATGAGATATGAATAGCTTTAATAAAATAACCTTATGGCTCATTGAACAAGGGGTTTGCGCAAGAATATGGAGAGAAACACTGGTGACTTCTTCAATGTCAGCTGCGGCAATCAATGGAAGAGACCTACATGGGTAGATTGCTCTCCATAGAGTCTGTTTCAAAAGGAGATGGAAGTCATTCGAATGCTGCTTGAAAATGGTGTGGATATGGATGCTAAAGATGAGGATGGATACACCGCGTTGCACTGTGCAGCGGAGTCGATACATGATGATGTGATTGAGATGTTGGTAAAGAAAGGAGCTGATGCTGAAGCTCGAACTAACAAAGATGTAACTACACTGCAGATTGCTGAGTCTTTGCACTACGTTGGGATTACTAGGATACTTATTCATAAAGGTGCAACAAAAGACAATAGTAGTACGGTACATATCTTGACCCATGCCTCAATTTCATTTGGGAAAAAATCTATGGGACTAGAGGAGGAGATGACCAAAGGAGGAATGAAGAAGAAGAAATCGAGTCAAGCTAGAGCTCTTTGTGGGAGCTTCGATCGTTTTGATGCCATTGAATGTTGTTTAGCTAGCAAAGCTGAACTAATATTGGTGCATTGCTATTTTGATAAATGTAGGATAAATTGGAGGATTCAAAACTTTAAAATCACAATTCATCAATGAAAAAAACTTATTTTTCTCTATGAGAACTATTAGGGTTTTAAACCGGAATAAATGTAGGATAAACAAAGAATGATCCTAAGGTTTAATTATAGTGTTTGAGTTTATTGATAATTTTAAGTTTTATTATTAATTTCATTTTGCACTTAATAGAAATTATACAATAGAGTAAAATAAGTAATTAACATTTAAAATTTAAGTTAAGTGTAAAAATAGATTACCTGAATTTAAATAAAATTTCCCTACCTATGATCATCACAAAAAAATCAGAAAGAATACTCATCCATCCAGTTAAAACCGACTTATCGACACGCGTAGGTGACGTGTACGTAGACGTGGTGACCAACTGCGAGTCAATGGCAACCTTCCTCAAATATAACCCTCCACCCTCCGCACTTTGTCGTAATTCGTATTGCTTCTCTGTCTACCTTCCCGCCGGTAACTTCAGCTCTAAGGTTCCGTTTCAACTTCTCTGGCCACCAAAAACATTCCTCTTTTGCTTTAACATTTTCGTTTGGGTATTTTGAAGTGAAGTTTCTGATTTCATCAGTTGTTTTTACTTTTAATTTCTGCTTTGAAAAGAATCTGGGGTTCTTAATGTTTTAGTGGGTAGCTCTCAGATTTCAATAAATTACTGGTTTGTTGTTGGTTTTGAGTTTGCCCCTCTGGGGTTTTATTTCTTTTTAATGCTTTTAAGACTATTTCTTGAGCTTTTAGTTTTAGTGTTGGATTTGTCCTTTGATATGTTGACTCTAAATTGGTGATTGTTTTTAAAGGTTTTTTGGGGAGGGGTTTAGTTGGGGTGAGAGAGAGTAAAGTTTGAATTTTGCAAAAAGAAGAGAGAGAAAAGTTGCTTTTGGCTTTTGGGTTTGAACACGAAGAAGAAGAAGAGATGGATGTAACAGAAGTTACAGTGATACACCACGTGGGGATTGTGTTAATGGTGATCTGGTTTCTCTCTCACTTCAATTGCTGCCACCCAGTTGCCTACTTCATCTCTCTCATTTATCTCTACCTGGTATGGAATCACTGCTCTTCCTTATTACTGCTTTCTCTTTATGCAAGGGATTAGAATCAAGCACAAAGTTGGCTTTTTTTCATTGGTTCTTTCTGTCAATTATATGTAATGTTATTTGATAACTGGTATTGATTTGGATGTGCAATTTCAATACTAAGCACTTTTGCTTCTGTTTTCGACAGGTTCATGAGCGGTATGTTATGAGATTGCGGAAGAAATTACAATTTGAGGAAAGAAAACAGGCTAATCAGAGAAGGGTAATTTTTAGTTTTCCCTTTTGTACGGTTGATTACTTTATCAGTAATTAGTACATTGAGTAAAAGAGTCTTTGTTGATCTTTATTATTGTTCAAGTGAGAAGCAATTAAAAGAAAGACGACCCGCCATAAGAAAGGTTCTTATATATAAAGTCAAACTGAAGTCTTTTGAATATCTATGCTTTGCACTTTTGTTGGGAAATTATCTTAGTTATTCAAAAATTAAATTTGGGTTTTTGAATTATGGTTGACTTAGTTTGGCAGTGCAATATCTCATGTCATTTTTTTCCTTGCCTTGTCCGATACTTCAGGTACTTTCTGATTCTGAGACCGTGCGGTGGTTGAACCATGCAGTTGAAAAGATATGGCCTATATGTATGGAACAGATTGCTTCACAGAAAGTTCTCCTCCCTATCATACCTTGGTTTTTTGGAGAAGTACAAACCGTGGACTGTTGTATGACTTTATCTTCTGATTTATTCATGTTCGATACTCTAGTTTTGATTGCTCCTATTAGTTTGGGTTGGTCACTTTAGTCTAAAGTGATCTCTCTTTTTAGGACTCGGATTTTTTATAGTATTTTGATTGCCCCATAGTGTATTGTGATCACTTCAGCTGTTTGTATGTACAGTAAACTAGTTCTAACTATCTATATGGTTATACATATGCAGGGTAAAGCTATAGTACAGCATCTTTACTTGGGAAGAAACCCACCTATGTTCACAGAGATGAGAGTTCTTCGCCAATCTACTGATGATGACCACTTGGTATGAGTTAGTATTCTTCCGCATGTTGGACCAGTATTTTCGTGTGCTCTTCTTGGCTTTCGTTCTAGAATTCAGCCAACATGAAGTAATACATTGTAATAATGCAGGTTCTGGAGTTGGGGATGAATTTTCTGACAGCTGATGATATGCTTGGAATTCTAGCTGTGAAACTGAGGAAAAGACTAGGTTTTGGAATCTGGGCAAAGTTGCATATTACAGGCATGCATGTTGAAGGGAAGGTATGGATTTGCCTAACTTGTAATTCAGGAATCAGGATGGATCTTAAGTTGGTTTAAAGTTAAGGAAGCTTGTAATTCAGGATGTAGATAGTATGTTAAACAAGATAGACATAGAAGCCTATGCAGTACAGTTTCACGTGGTGCTTCCATGAGAATTAACTTTGCGATTGATCTTTGCAACTTATGAGTTCTGATTTGCACCACTTTATGTATATATCTGCATTTAAACACTGATATGATTGGAACGTTTCTTTTTAGCGTTGTTGTTTGTGTTTCAATTCTGACATGTATGCCTTATTTTTTTTTCTTCTTTTAAGAAATAGCATTTTGAGTTTTAGGTCTAATGGATTATCTCAGGCTAAAAAAGCTTATGACTTATGTTAGATGTTCCATGTTACCTTATTGAGTTGGTTTGGTTAGTGTCGTTAACTAAGAATGGTTAAGAGGATTGGCCTCTGCCCTTTGGTGGCATAACGAAAAACCTTTTTTTTTTAGGGGAAATGGCATGTGGCAAAGCTTTGAGTTTCTTTTTCTTTTGTAGGTCCTGATTGGGGTGAGGTTCCTTTGCAAGTGGCCTTTCCTAGGCCGTGTGCGGTTATGCTTCGTTGAGCCTCCATATTTTCAAATGACCGTCAAGCCTATTTTCACTCATGGGCTTAACGTTACAGAAGTCCCTGGGATTGATGGCTGGCTGGTAAGCTTTTATCATATTTTATGCAGATATATTCTTAAGTCTCCCCTTACATCGGTCACTCACTCTGTCTTTGTGTTTACCAATCTCTGACTCTCTCCTTTGTTGATTCCGTTTCCCAGGATAAGCTTCTCTCTGTTGCCTTCGAGCAGACACTTGTTCAGGTAAACTATTTGGATTTTGACACTCCATATATAATTCTTGGCCATCCAATGGTTGTGTTGAATGCAAAGACATCAGTTCAGAGTCTAGACACCTCCTTGCACGTTGCAATGGAGTCCTTTTTCATTAGGCCGAAAACCCACTGGCCTAGATTTCCATTTGTTTCTGTTGCAAATTTCAGATTTTAGAGAACTATTCGCAATAGTTCTCTCCTACCGTACATGTTTCATTCCTTTCAAATAGTATATCAAGTTGATTAAATTCCACGTGATCTAGTAGACAAAAAAATAAGCTTGTTCGAATGACAAATAATGGGACTGTTGGTTATTATGCCTCATAGTCAGCAAGATGATATGGAAATGTTATTAATGTATTATCCATAACTTTTTGCAGCCTAATATGCTGGTCGTTGACATGGAGAAATTTACTTCACCGGAACAGGGTAAGGGCCGCATAATGTATCTTTAGTATTTCACACACGATTAACGTATCTTCCTTTGGGAAGTATAAAACTTATGTTATTCAAATTTTATGTGGTGTGGAGGCATTTATTGCTAGATTCGCATGTATTCAGTCCCCTTGTGATATAAGTTCCTCTCACTCATTCACTCTCTAAAATGTTTCAATTACTGTGTTCATGTGAATGACAGAAAGCTGGTTCTCTGTGGATGAGAAGGATCCTGTTGCTTATGTGAGAGTAGAAGTTATCAAAGCATCTGACATCAAAGCCTCTGATCTAAATGGTTAGTTATTTGTTTTCCAGTACAAGAAGGTTTTTTAACTAACACAAGAAAGGTGTTACTTTTTTTGTATTTGATACAGATCTTTATTTTCAGGATTCGCTGACCCTTATGTGAAGGGTCATTTGGGTGTTTACCAATTCAAAAACTAAGATACAAAAGAAAACGCTGACTCCAAAATGGCACGAGGAATTTAAGATCCCCATAATCACCTGGGATTCACCAAATGTACTAGCTATTGAAGTTCATGACAAGGACATGTTTGTTGATGATGCCCTTGGGTTTGTTTCTGAACTTCCTTAATATATTATGTTCCGTAGCATGCCTACGTCTTCAAATATTTGCAAATAATATTGCTATAGTAACTATTAGATTTAAGGATTACCGACTTAGAGATTAAATGAACACAATCACAAATTAAATGAGTTTGGAAGCCATTTACCTTGTTGTGCTTTGATTTTCTATTAAATTATCCTGTAGGTGCTGTTGTATCTGCATGATTAACTGACACTTCTTCTATATCCAGAGAGTGTTCCATTAACATCAGCGATTTTAGGAATGGCGGGAGGCATGACATGTGGTTGCCTCTTCAGAAGGCTGGGAGGCTGCATCTTGCAGTAACCATACTTGACGAAAATGGGAAGGTAACATTTTCTTTCTTCTTAACTAGTTCTATTGATAATGTCCATTAGGAAATCAAAGTCAAGAGATCGATTGTTTTAGTTGCTGCATAAATTAGAATGCAATGCTTCCACAGGATGCTCAAGTGTGCATGGTGCTCCACTCCTTCGAAAAAGTATCTTCACAATTTGAGAATCTCAATGAATCATCTAATTGTTTTAGTTTCTGTTTTCCCTCCGTCTCTCATGTCTATTTTCATAATCAAAACAAATTAGAATTCTCAATTCTCTACGACATCTACGTGATAAATTTTTTTCAGGAACAGAAAAATCTTCAGGGGTTTGACTTGAACCGCTTTCATACACAGGGAGATGACTCTCCAGATGTTCAGGAAAAGCCAGATGTGAAAGAACGAAGAAATTCCTTTGCCAGTGACACTGGTAATAAAGGTTCCTTCTCATCTATATCCTCAGGGAAATCTGCAAAAGTA